AAAACCCAAACCCCTTACACGATGGGAAACGACTCTCCGAATCAATCTTGTTTCCAAAAGGAAGACAATGTCCGGTTTATTCGAAATAACTAAACCTAACGCAGTTTGGAATGTGAGGGATGGTCCAATTTATCTCACACTCCAGGCCATTAGCCTCATTTATTCGATTGGGGCCACTCAAGGATGGCTCCTCCACCTCATCATTGTTCTCCTCTACTTCCACAAACTGCTTCTTTAGAGTGGGAATATCACTCTTTCACCCCAGCCAGTATTTTCTCTCCCTCTCCTTGGAGGAAACAAGGGTGATCAGCATCCTTCCCCACTCCTCCCTTCTTATCAATAACCAGACTAGATTCGAAAGCAGCCACCACTTGGCGAACATGCCCCTTCGTGGTTCTACGAACTTTAGCTCCCTTAGCAATATAAGTGCGATGACAAATCTCAAAGCTTTGTTTGTCACTCGCAGAGAGATAGGACTCCGAAGCAGCTGCATCATGACCATCCTCGTAGACCTACTCCCCTAAGCACTACAAAGACCCTCCCAATGGCGGGGACGAGTTGGGTAAGCTGTCAACCACCTGCTAGTCTTTATTTTCCCCATCATCCTACTTCAGGACCACCATACTAGGATCTGACCCCATTTCGGGCATTTACTTATGATCTGCGTCATCATCCTCTCTCGCCGGGTAGGTTTTGCCCTGCGTGGGCAAGCGCAGCCAACGAGTACGGCTACCATGGCCAGGGACAACCCGGGGTAGGGCTGATGCCTATTTTACCTTAGCTTTAGTCAAGTTCCGAACACTACATCAAGTCTTAGGTGCCTGGCCACCACTATCCTTGCATGTTTCCTCCACAAGGGTCCCCTCTCGCATGTCTTTGCATGGGGTATGTAACCCGCATCTGATCGGACAAACACACAACTTTCTTTGACGATAGCTCACATTCCTGGAAAATAAAATCATCCTCGTTGGGTTTCCTCCTAGAGCACACTCATATCATCATGATTTTCATCCTCGACCAGCTTGTGGGAGGGACGCTCCACTTCCCTTCCCATTTCACGACTGCCGCCATCACCCGTGTTGCCAGTCAAGTGCGACAGCCTTTCACAACTTTTCTTACGCATGAAGCATTTTATTTTTGTCTTTGCCAATTCCAATATGTGGTGATTTAGTGATAGTGAAGCCCCGAGGATAAGCGCGCCACGAGAAAATATTTTTTTTTCCTCGCGACGAGGAGTGCCCCGTACCTCGCCACGAGTTTGAAAGAAGCAGGTCCCCTGCTGTATTTTCTGCGGCAGGTTTGTCCCTCCACGGTTTCGAGCATATACTGGGGGCTTCTACCACGATCAGATTTTCCTGCTCCTTCTTTGTTTTCTTGGATAGCCTTATTCACCCACAACGACCTTCTATTGCCCATAAACGTCGAATTTTCATCTCCGTCATCGTAAATTTTCCTTCCAAGCTTCTTTGTGGACATATGCGGTCCATATTTTTCTTTCAGGGTCAGGGGATCATACGAGCAAGAGCGCCAAAAATGTCCTCCTCGCGTATAATGGTAGCAAAATCTAGGTAGGTACTCATATTTTAGATTAACCAAGAAGCAGTCAACCTCTTCACTTGCCGCCATGAATTGAGAATGTAATGGTTTGGTAAAGTCAATCAGCGTTTTAATTTTCACAAAATGTTCATGAGTTCTTTGGGAGACAAAAACTCATGATTCTAGACCTGTCCCAATGCGGCAGCATTGACTTACATGACGAATTGTTTGGTACAACAGTCCTCCCGCACACCCCGTAGTGGGACACGAAACGGGGCTATCGCCAGGTCAGAAAAGGTTTTTGTTGAAATAGTGGGAGTCCAGGAACAAAGATGTAGGATTTTGTCCTTAATAACCCAGGGTGTATCAAGCATGGGCCAAGGCAGGAAGGAAACCCCACCGCCTTTTTACCTGAGTAAATGTCCACGCCGGATTGTTGTTGTAGGGAAGCTGGTGCTATTCTTTCCACCGCAAGCGATTCTCGTATTTGAACTGTGACGAGAGTACACAGTTGCGGAATAGGTTTTATATAGGAAAAAACTATCTAAGCAGTCCCATACAGTAACGTAACCGTTTTGCTCAGGTATTGCAGAGTTGGCCTAGGATTAGGATTCTAATAATTTTTTGTATTTTTTCGGTTATTTTTATGGAAAATTATCGTTCGAATCTCACTGGCCCACAATGGAGTATATGGGGCTAATATTTGCCTAACTAACCACTTTTTATACCATCCACGTATATTTGCCTAACTATTCGGACGGGAGATAATCAACACCAGCCCTTGTAACGCCGGCGTTTTTCGAGACTCGGTGATAGAAACCCGCATTTTTAAATAGTTGCTTATTCAGATTATCTTTGTCGGGTTGTTATTTTATGAGTTTTTGAGAATTATTGGGGGGAATTGCGGATATTTAATATGTCGGGTAGCAGTAGGGAATTATCCATTTTTTATATAAACTACTTGTACGTGGGATTAGACCACTAAGCAAGATTAAACCCTAAGAACTACCTGAGCAATTGTTTAGCTTGGTTCGGTGGAGGAATCGCTTTGAAGTGTATTTTGGGTAGTTGTGATTTTGTCTCGCTTGTTTGGTGAGAAGTTTGGTTGTAGTTTGTTTGATAGTAAGAATGGCTGCTAACAGTATAAAGATTGAGAAGTTTACAGGGAGAAATAGTTTCAGTTTGTGGCAGATCAAGATGCAAGCACAGTTGAAACAACAGTGTTTGTGGGCTCCGTTGTCTGGAAAATCGAAGAAGGAAAGTATAGATGAAAAAGAGTGGATTACTTTGGAGGAGAAAGCTCACTCTACAATCTTGCTTTGTTTGGCTGATGACATCATCACTGAGGTTGCTACTGAGAAGACTGTCGCGGGCTTGTGGTTGAAGCTTGAAAGTCTATACATGACAAAGTCTTTAACTAACAAGTTGCATATGAAGCAACGTTAGTTCAGTTTGCGTATGGAGGAAGGTATGTCTCTCAGGAATCATCTAGATCAACTCAATACCATCTTGCTAGATTTGCGGAATATTGATGTTAAAATAGATGATGAGGATGCTGCCTTAATTCTGTTAGTATCTTTGCCACAGTCATATGAGAATTTTGTGGATTCTTTTTTTGCTGGGAAAGATAGTTTGTCTTTGGAAGATGTCAGATCTGCTCTACATACTAGAGATGTTCGACATAAAGCGTCTGGTTCTGGTTCGGAAAATCATGCATCTGGGTTGGCTGCTACGAGTAGTAGGAGACAAAAATTTGGTAATAGGAAGGTGAATACAAATTCGAATTCTACTAGTTTGAAAGATGATATCTGTCATTACTGCAAGGAGAAAGGACATTGGAAATTTGATTGTCCTAAACTGAAGAAATATCAGGAGAAGAAGGAATCATATGCTGCTGTGGCGGAAGAAACTAACTCTGATTCTGAAGATGGTTTAGCCTTAGCAGTGATTGAACAGGTACATCATCAGGATGTGTGGTATTTAGATACTGCAGCTGATTATCATATGTGTCCATGCAGGGAGTGTTTTTCAACTTGAGCAGATAGATGGAGGACATGTTTCTATGGCTGATGTTGATATCTGTAAGATTGTTGGAAGAGGCTCCGTCAGGATGAGGACACATGATGGTTCTGTTCTCACCTTGAACAATGTTAGGCATATTCCAGAGATGACTAAGAATCTGATATCTTTGAGTCTACTTGACGACAAGGGTTTCAGTTTCAAAGGTGAAGGTGGAGTGATATATGTATACAAGGGTTCTAAGGTGATTTTGAACGGTGTCAAGAGGGGTGCCTTGTATAGTCTACAAGGTTCTGTTTTGACATGTTCTGTTGGTGATAAGTGCACCAAGATGGTTTTGAATGGAGCATGGGTTGGATTTTCCAAATGGTTTGAGTTGTTGACTTCCCTTAGGGGCATTTGGAGGCAGGGGAGATTCTGGTACAACTGATTTGGAGGAGTTACTACGTTTGCAATTTTCTGATTGCGTCTGAGTTTAGCGATTTGCATCGCGTTTGAGTTTGGCTATATAGATCGCGTCTGGGTACATCTGGCAACCTTGGTTGCGTCTGGTATTGGTATTTGAGAGAGAATTCAAGTCAAGGTGGAGATTGTTAGAATATGACCTGAATATGATTTGGGTTTGTTTTGTTTTTGGGCCTATTCTGTTTGGGTTTGGGATTGGGTTTTGTTTTGACCTTTTCCTTGTATGTTTGGGAAAAGGTGTTTGATTTTCTGTTTGGGATTAGGAGAAGAGTTCTATAAATACTCTTCATCACCCTAGTCTGTAGTAAAGGTCATTCAGGTTAGTTTGTTTGGTTTGTCCGTTTGGAATTTGGTTTGTAACCTGTACTCTCCTCAAATTAGTGAAATTTGTTCTCCCCTGCCTGTGGATTAGCTAGCACAAATTGTGTCAGTAAACCACGTTAAATTTGTGTTGTTCGTGTTGATTTGGATTATCGATTGCACGCTTGTGTTCTGACAAAACATTTCAAATTTAAAATTCATTTATCAAAAGTTTCACTCTACATGTTTTGAGGCTCATGTATGGTTAGTTGTTTATGATTGATTTGAATGTCCTGTTATTCATGCACGTTAATGTGATTTGAGTTCTCTCGTACTATTATTGATCTTGAAAGTTCACTTATAATCCACTACCTAAAATCGATGATTGAGTGATGATTTCTAGTATTTATTGAGTTGTATGATTATGAGCGGTCTAAAAAATAAACATGTTGTATTTATTTATTTTTAATAAGCATACATGTTAAAGAACATTGATTATAATAATTTGGACAGGGAAGCATGCTCGAGTCAGCCTCCAGAAATAAAGCGCGATCCTCTTGTCTTTATACAAAGAATGAGATAATTACGACTCTTGAAAGATTGGGCGGGTAGCCGCCAGCCCCTTGTAGAGGCCAATCCCAATCCAATAAGTATACAACCTATGAACCTTTTCAACACTCCCCTCCCAAACCATAAAGCTCAACCTCTTTTCCCCATTTCCTTGTACTAGCCGCTATATGTGTATTTATAAAAACTCTCAGTCAGTCAGGCTGGCTAACGATAAAAAGAACAGACATGAATTCCACGCAAACCTGACACCATTTATAAGATTGCTCTTATTGAGTCACTATGCACATTCTTCCTCCACCAATCAACTCCTCCACATAATTTAAAAACCGTTGATCCAAACCAGACCCTTCTCAATCCACAGCTATAAATAGCTTCCAAGCTCTCCATTCTTAATGACTCCTACTTATCGTATCCAAAAACAAAAACCCAATTGCGTTTAACACGAGCCCAAACTCAAATCTTCATTAACAGAGCATAAAAACAGAGTCATGGGCAGAGTATTAAGATGCTCGTCGTGGGTTTGTCTAGTGATTATGGTACTGGTTTTATCATCATCCAGTGGCAGAGTTGAAAGCGGCCGGCGGCTAGTGAGCCCACCAGCAGACGTCCGCGGTGGCCAGGGAAGCCGACTGGCTCGGCTTTCGGCGGCGTTGAATCAGGCGGCTGAAGAAGCTAACAGCAGAGCAGGAGGCAGAGCTCCTGAGCGACTCAGTCCCGGCGGACCAGACTCTCAGCACCATTAACTGATTCGCCGGCCGGCATGATTATTAGTTTTTACACCGGGAGATGACGGTTTTTTTGCTTATTGTTCTCTCGTGTAATGTTTGTAGAGCTTGATGCTACATTTTTAGTATCGTCATTAGAGAGACTTGCTTAGAATAAATTTGGTGAAAAATTGATCATTAATATACATGTTAATGTTTTCTTTTGCCAATTTTCGGATTCGCTTATATGATGAGTTCTTGATCGTATATATTCAAATTCTCGGAATTTCTGGGTTTCTAAAACTCTTCAATTTTAAAATTTGCTTGTCATTTTCAATTTGATATTGGTGGCATTACGCCTATCCTTCTCAACAGTGGCCACTACATCATTTTATAGAATCATAAGCTACAATTGCGTAACTTGATTAATATCATTACGTAAAAGGACCATCCATTACGTAAGGCTTCCGTAATGCCACTTTACAACTGTTACGTAAAGTATGCATCTATTACGTAAAGGTTACGTAACGATAGTTATTTCTTACGTAACAGTTAATATAGAAGTGTTACGTAAGCCTTCCGTAATGATTCAACAGATTACGTAATGAAAGGTTAATATTCATTACGTAAAATGAGTGCCTCTATTACGTAAGGTTTCCGTAATGACATTTTTCAACTATTACGTAAGGTAAGCACACATTACGTAACCATACGTAATGCCTATTGTATTTTACGTAATGCGACTTGTGAAACTTATTATAGCTGGTCAAAAACATCAAGTTACTATGACTTCAAGGTATTGTAGGAATTTCCTATTATTTAATTTATTGCTTGTGGTAAATAAGTTACCAGTTTGATTTTTTTTTTTCTCCATCTCAGTTGTCGCAGGGATGTTTCATTAGCATTATTGGCACTTATTTGGACCGACCTGAAGATACTAGGTTAACCACTTAGCTTTATGCCTTTATTTTTATAATTATTTATGTTACAGATAATAATGAGATAATACAATTGCAGTCAATAATTAGTGCAACCTATCCAGGCAAGGTTATATTATAGTGCGATCCACGCAAGGTTTTAAGTTTGAACATTTTCAAATTTCTTGCGAAAAGGATTTTTATTCAAGTGGGTTCATCTTAAAAGTCAATATGAAATGCCTATAAAAACAAGTCACTATGTAATGCTATTTAACTAAAATAAGATGATTTTTGTTAATTTCTAACACGACACGTGACCTTTTTATATTTTTGACAATTGTTGACAAATGACATCTTTTTAAGAATGGGGCAATTATATGACTTGTTACAATTTTTCTTTTATGTCTTGTAATTCGATCTAAATGAATATATACCATTTTCATAAAATTTTCTTCATGTTATCTCTATCCCTATCAATTGTTTGCATTTTGTAGTATGATATTACCATAGCATCAATAATTTTATCAATCACTCCAGTTGACAATTTCAAGTTTTCTACAACCTTGAAATTTTTGTTTGCCACTTCCATGGTGCATGGGATCGATTCTATATTTTGACACGGGATTTTTCACTACATGATTCTAATGAAGAATTTTAAACATTTGAGGGAAATCAACAGTATAATTTATAGCTGAAAAGTAAAACTGCAACCCCCATTCAAATTTTCCTGCGCATAGAGTGATTTTAGGAGTCTGACGTGGCAGGGTGGTTACACGGAATTAAATTAGAAATCCCCGCGTGACAGGAGAGATAAGAAACCGTCGGTTCCCACTACTTTTTTTGCGGCTGAAATCATCTTCCGTCACTGCCAACGAAGGGTGTTCTGCGGAGGGAGTGGAGGTTGCGAGGCTTTAGGAGGAAGCGCTTGAACTCGGAGTCGAGGCGACGCTCGAGGGCTCCATTGTGTGGGGTGGTTATGTGTGGTTGCCGACGGATTACTCTAGAACGTGGGGAGTGCTTTCTCGACAAGGTCACCGAGCTCGGTGTAGTGGGAGTCAAGGAGGGAGACAAGGACGGAGTTGAAGTTACTTTTGTCCAGCGGCGGTGGAATCGGGGTAAGCGGAAGATTGAGAATGGTGGCGTTGCGGTTTAGGGGAAGAAGAAGTGGGCAATGTGGCATTGGAAGTAATAAGGAAGAAGAGGAGAGAAGAGACACCATAAAGGTGTTCGTCCCATGGTGATTGGCGGATTGTCAAATTCCTCTCTTCGATGGTGAGAAAAGTTTTGAACTATAGAAAGTTAGAAACACATGTGTTTATCTCTCTGTTTACTTAGGTTTTGATTTAAGTTTTCATTCCGATTCATTGGATTCCACGGGGATCTGACAGTAGCGATCAGGTGATGCATACCAAGTATTCTCCTGGGGAAGGACTCTCTTTGTGGCTGTAAGGCTTGCTGATTGTGGATGAATAAGATGGATCTTTCCAAGGAAATAGAGAATATGAAGTTGTGGATCCGAATTAGGCCCGAGGAATTCCTTAAGTATGTCATCTCGATTTTTTTGTTTTGTTTACTTCACAGAGAGTATCTCACGGTCTTCCTCTTCTTTGTCCCATATATCATTTAGGGGGAGAATGGGTGCTTCAGGTTCAAACAACACAGATTTTCGTTGGAGATTCATGGTGGAGGCGACAAACCCAAATCAAACAAATAGAAAAGGAACCATAAGCCCTATAAGCAGTGGTCCCTCCAATTATTTTGTGATTGAGTTTGTAGATTTTCATTCTTTTATTCTTGCCAGTTTACTCTGCTGTTAGCTAAGTTTCTTTGGGTTCTCTTTATTTTCCTCCACATATGACATTATTTAGCCTCTTTTTAGGAAGCTGTTAGTAGTGGTGGGTGATGAACCCATTGGACCAGCAATGGAGATTCGTGTTGTGATGAAGGAGTGTTAGATTCCATGAAAATCACCAGGGCTTATCGTGATTGTTGGCAACTAATTTCTGGTAAGTTTTGTTGTAGATGAGGCCTCCCACGGTGAGATAGCTGTCAGAACTCAGAACTATGACTGTTTCAAAGCAGCCTCAAGATGGGAATTTGGCTTATGGTTTCCTGATCATTGGGAAGATGAGTACCTAACTAAAATCGTTTATGCCGTATTTATTCATCATGTTTTTTTTTTAAATATGCTAACAGAGTCTTGCTGTGTTGCATCTTGATGAAAGGAGGAAATCGAAGATCATAGCTGATGAAAATGGTGATTCTTTTTGTTTGTCTTTTCAATGACAATTTCAAGATCTATATCAGATTTGAGTTCTATCTGACAATTAAAGTTGGAAAACAAATAACCCATTTTAGAGCCTTTACTTATTCTGCTTTTGCTCATCCTTATAGCCTATTCTTCAAAGAGTGGTAAGAGAAATGAACACGCATTACATTTTATTATTCTCTTTGGAGCAGCATTAGTAGTTTTGTATCCTTTGAGGCTTGAGCTGCCTTCTTTGAGCTCTTTGGTCATGGACGAGAATCACAGGTAAAGAAAAGAGAACTAATTGATTAGAGTTGTTGGATTAAAGATACACATTTTAAAATGAGGTTTGTCCAAATAATGGACTCACTCTCTAAGCTTCTCTCTTGGTTAGTTGGTCTATGATTACCATTGTGAGTTCACAGGTCAACGCGTACGTACAAGCAACATTATCGTTTTCATGACGCAGCTCAAAGACTCAAAGTTGTTCCTTGGAGGTTGGAAGGAGAGGGATCGATAGGACAAAAGGTGCAAGGGATAATGCTGGTTTTCTATGGGGTTCCAGGCTGTCGATAAGTGCACCCGTATCATTTTCATGGTGCAGGTGAACCGCTGAAGAACCTTCTGCAGTAAAAAAGACAATAAAGCAGTTTGGAAGACAGATTAGGCTAAATAAGTACATCTTCCACTATATATTGTTTTCGAACTATGTGTGAATAATGAGTATAGAGTAGAAACAGTAGACTGAGTTTACTTATGTATTTTCGTTATTCTTGAACACTCAATCTCTTGAAACTGGTGAAAGAGCAGCTACCGGTGGCTTCTGTTCGCTGAGAGCTGCCTTCACCAATTTGATGCGGAGACCTTGACCTCTATTTGATGAGGTCATTCCACTCTGCCTTTTTATCCTGCTACAATTGTTCCATTCTTTTTGGTTGTTTGCTGTAATTTGAGTCTCATCAATTGCGTTTGGGTTTATGGTTTGCGTTTTCATTCTAATCCGGTGGATTACATAATTTATTTGCTAATGTCTTAGGTGCCAGTTTGCTATGGTGTTGCGGTATGATAGATTAAAATGAGTTTCTGGTAATGTCTTGCTTTTGTTCGTTTTTTGTTTGGTGTTAATAATCACTTTGGTCACTATATTTTTCATTTTGGTTTTGTGCTGCTACTTCAAGCTTTATATGGCTATTTCAGTTTTTTTTTTTTTTTGCGACAACGCAGCATGCCAAAAAAAATTCAAATGGGGTGTTTATGAAAAACATTAAAACTCCATGATTCTAGGTGAACACTAATTTTACTTTACAGGTGAAAGAGTGGAGAGCCGAAGGAAGAACCAGTAAAAGGGATGGTTGTTGTGAGATGATTATGTTTGCTTAATTACACCAACCAACAGGAATCAATCAATTCCATGAAACAAACCAAATTTAACCCCATAAAGTAATTGGATGTCAGATAGATTTTCAGGGCTTCATAGTTTGTGATTTGTTTCTCTCATTTTGGTATGTTTCAGAAGGTTTGGGGCTTAATACAACAATGACTTTTCCCTTGAGGTTGATGATTCTATCTGACCTATAGTTTTATAATTGAAATCCCTCGACGGTTAGACTCCTTAATCTAGGTTCCTCTTTGTCAGTTTGCATTTGTTAATGGGAAATTTCGACTAAATACATTCCTCTATTGAGTTGTTATGGAACATAATACAATGCCTTTTTTGTTCGTTTGTGATGATACATAATACTTAGAATGGTTGAATGTATGTTTATGATGATAAACATGGTTCACCAAACTGGCAAACTCTTAATCTTATGTTACTCAGATTCATGTGTTGTCTATTGAATTGTGCCGCGTGCTTGCAGTGATACCTAATGTTTCTGCTGTCGCTATGAGAACTGTAAGGGTAAGCAACTTAGGTGGGTGAAAGTGTAGTCAGTGGAATGCTCGCTAAAAAGCTCAAAGTATGGTCCATGTAGATGTAGTGTTGTTGGTGCTATATATGCAAGCAGCGAGGGAACTAAAAGGGGGATG